CAAGCAGTTGGCTGAGAACTGCGGCAGCAGAAGGTAAAACGGAACGGGAAAGCAGGTCTTTAGAAGCCTTGCTGAGTACGATACATTCATCTTGCCAGGCTTTTGAAATGTTGTTTTTGGAAGCAGAACAAACTGACCAGAGCAATGGTGTCGCCGCCTGAACCACCACCACCTTTTTTGAGAATTACTGAAGCACCAATAATGCATAAATTAAGAGCCACCAATACAACCAGTGGGCCGACGGCCAAGAATATTGAGTACATGTATTTGTAATAAATGAGCATGTAACTGCAATACATAACATTCAGGTCCCTCAGAATTTGTACTCGCGTCGGTGTAAGTGGTTGACAATTTCTGATCACCTATCACACTGTTCAAGAGCATTAATGCAAATGAAAAGACACAGAGTGGAAATTTTGTCGTAACTCCCAGAAATGAAAGTGAATCCGGCTTTCAGTAAAGTGAACCCATACGCTGATGGCAGTGCAAGCCTGAATTTTTGCAGTGGCTATTTTTTGTAAACACATCACTAGCAACTGTTACCCGCAAGTATTACCACTATCATAATTGTGTGAATTAGGCAGAAAGTATTACGCATCGTGTAAATTAGGCAGTATATTTTATGCTTCCCACACATTTTATGGATCATCTACTTTCCTGTTTTCCTGCTTACCAGTACTTTGCACACGGATCAAGTGCTTAATTTATAGCATTTCGCTCTGTTTTGATAGTATACTTATTAATAATTCTACTGACTGCACTTTACTTTCCAAAATAAAACCTGCTTATAGTCTGATTTCATATTTATGGTCCCGGATTCCGATGTGGTTATCATTCCTTATTCGGATTCTTTTGGGGTTATGAAACCATCAGAGAAACAGGAAAGATTGCAAATCAATTTCGAAGTTATGATGAGCATTTAGAAACCAATATACAAGTTTTTAGTTTTTCTAATGTCAAAATCGAAAAATTCAATTAAAACAATGAAGAAACGACCCCGATGTTCACTTTTTTGCACTAACTGAAAAGATCTCAAAACAATGGATGAATACCTTGGAAGGAACCTGAATGGATCTGGGCAAACTTCAAGTGAACGGCTTTCGAAATGAGAGTGCCAACATTCTAGAACAACTGCCTCAAAACAGTGAGGCACATTGTATAAAACACTGAATACCACAACAAACAGCGCCATACATTTGACGAAAGACGCTCGGGATACAAATTTCCGACAGCCATCTGGTAGACAGACCTGAAAATATTATCGCTCCGCAAAAGAATCTTCTGAACATTTTGCCTACATCAATTTCTTTACAGCATTTTGTCTACATCAATTTCTGAACTGTTCCGGCGAATTTTATTACCCAGGTTATGGAAGCATCGAAGTGTGAGTGCACTTACTATTCGGATGAGTAAGACACTGAAATGAGCGACAAGCTGTAGGCTTGCAGACAGACTAGTTATACGATTCATTTTGTGCAACCACTTTGATTCTAAAAAGTTCTTGCGAAGTTATCTAATTCATGTTTTTTTTC